ATTTATTCCTTCCTTTCGGGGCCTAGGGCACAAGAATAAAAGAATTCTAGATTATTGGCCTCCCCAATCTTCCCACATGGCACTCGTTATGCTTTATGGACCTGAATGAGGACTTTGCGCATGCGTGAAGCCTCAGTGCGCATGCTCGGCTTTCCCTTTAAAGCTTGTACCTGTCTCCCTTCTCCGTTCCCGGTGGTCGGCCACTAATTCTGCTCTGCTCTGCTCTGCTCTCCCCCTCTCGCTCTCCCGCCCGGTAATAAAACTCTGTGGTTTTTAGACTCGCTATAGTTCGTGTTCCATCGAGCCGGTTTCCATCTCGTGGTTTCTTTCTTTTTCTATTTTTCTAATATTTAAACTTTTACAGAAGAACAACACCCATCTTGACTTGTATACTAATAAATGGACGTTTCAGATCTCTAATTCAAGTCTGTCCATATTGCCACTGCCACCCATGATCATTATGGTCCACAGTCAGGAGGACTGAGACACATCAAAGCTGTTTGTGGACATAGAAATGGGCTTGGTACCATTTGCTCATTGAAAGTGGAAGGCCTGGGTTTACAGAGGAGGAATGATCTAGAAAATGGGTGCACAACCTGTGGACAGTCGTGTCCTCTCTGTCCACAGACTTCTCACTAGAGGAGCGGCTACAGCTGGACAAGGGTCAGTGAGGGCCCTTCTGAGTTATGGGTCCCAGAGTTAAGATCTTGATGACAGGTCTAGGGGAAGTTCTTCCTAAAGGATAAATAGACATCATCAAATAAGTTGGGCATGGGGAGCCTTCCATAGGAGTAGCAGCATCCCAAGGTCCCCAAGATGGTAAAAGCCTGGTTTAACTCTCTAAAACTAGGGTGTGAGAGGAGATGAGGCTAGAGAATGGACTCCAGTCTGTGAACCAAGAGAAGGATCCAACCGTATAGATGACATAGACAAGACATAGTGGGCCAAGAAAGATCATTTGAAAGCTGCAAGAACGTTCCTTCCTGGTTAAACTATGGTGCAGTCAGTATGGTACTGGATGTGGGAAGAGAGAAGGATGTTCAGTTTGGCTAGGCCTACAAGTACCGAAAGGGACACGATAAGGATGACAATGGTGATAAAAAAAAATGATGCTGCACATAATGGCATACCGCTAAAACTATACCCTCTGGGAAGGTTGAGGCATAAGGATTGTAAGTTCAAGGACAGCTTGACAACTTACTGAGACTCTGTCTCAAAATAAAGAAAGGCTAGGATGTAAGCCAGTGGTGGAGTGTGCTTGTCTAGCATATGCAAGGCTCTGAAGCCAACTCCCAGGATAAGAGGGAAAGAAGGTTGGAAGGGAGGAAGGAACAAAGACAAAGAGGGACAGGATGGGGAGGCGGGAGAGATTGTAGAGAAGCTGGGGGCTCAGGGGGTAAGATCATCAGAATAAGCCCAAACCTCTGGAACAAGCTCTTAAAGTGAGGGGCTGGAAAGAAGGCTTAGCAGTGGGGGTGATTTTTGTATAACCATGAGCTCTGGAATGCCTGCTAACTCTAGCTCTGAGGAATCTAGCCAATGCACATACTCACAGAGAAACTCACACAGACAGGCACATACACATAATTCAAGCAATAAAGCATACGTTTATGTATATATGAACTGGGCCAAGAATCTGATTCTCTGCTTGCTCATGCTGACCATTGATATAAGGCAAAATAATCACCTGCAGGTAACACCCCTGTGCTCTGGGCTCTGTAGTAGAGTAAATAGTACTGTGTGTGCTTTCATGGTTTTCTCTGTGGCTGACATCCTGAAACTTTCCGAGCCGGCAGGCAGTACCTGTCAGCTCTGTTGTTAACTGCAACTGCCATTTATGTTGTGGGCAACATTTGATACTGCCAAAATTTTCTTTCTTTTTTTTTCCTTTTGTTTATTTTGTTTAATTGTTAACACTCTCACCACTTAGCACCAATAAAATCATAAATACACTATGCTATCATAAGAATTGTCCTTGCAGTTTGTAAGCTAGTGTGTGTGTGTGTGTGTGTGTGTGTGTGTGTGTGTGTGTCAGAACGAGAAAGAGATTATGATAACAGTGCTTATATAATCTCAACAACCAGGGGCCCTAGGGACTCACACTCAGGGATGGAACAGTTGGTTTAAATTATGTTTCCATGTGAAATACGGTATTGCTATTTTTTCCCTAGCATGTGGGAAAGTGTATGGGAAATGATTTGACTGATAGGAAATAAATCTGTGTGCATGTGTGTGATCAGGACTGAGACACAAACAAATGGTGGTCTGTGCTTCTCTGGGAGGAGCCTCTCCTGGATGGGGGTTAACCCTTTCCATTCACTACAGGGCAGGAGAATAGTCAGAATATTACAGTGACTTTCAGCATCAAAGGTCCTAAAGCCATGGGACTCAGACAGCCCCTGGCCTCAGACAGGAACTGGGTAACTCTGAGGAACCACTCTTAAGTGTTCAGGATCCCATTTCCACTTGTTAAGACAAGTCTGATTTAGTTCCCATTCTAAGGTTAAGGTCCATCAAAAGCAAACCAAGCTAGAGGAAGAATTGGCTAGTAGCACCAAACCACGGCCAGTCTCTGTTGGCACAAATATCTTCTTGGTCCAGCAGGGCCAAGGTTTCATGAAATGACTGTTAAATGACGAGGAAACAAGGCTTGGAGACCAAGCAATGGATTGCTTGCAGCTGCTGGAGAGCTCAGCTCTGAGAACCCCAGAGAATTCCTAGAATGACAGGAAGGGCTGATTCCAGGTCTGTTCTGGTTTTGCATGGGGGCAGGCATCCTCTGAAGTAAGGAGATAACAGAGCATACCCAGGGCCTCCTGGGTATTGGTGTAATAGGTTTTGCTTCAGCCTGTTTCAGAAAGGAATCAGCAGTTTCTTACTCCAGTGCACCAACCAGCAGAGAATAGCCCTGTTTTATCACTACCCGGCCCCATTGCCACCATTTTCCTATTTGTTTCTGTGCAGCAGTTAAAAAGGAGGTGTTGCACATCTGTCCTCTATACTGTGGTTTGGGTTGGGTTTGGTTGGTGATGGTTTTTCTTTAATTATCTTGGAGGTGCAGTTCATGGTGTTTTTTCGTTTAATTCTGTCTCTGTCTTCAAATATACTGTTCCAAATTGAGTGCTTAGGAGGATCCACCCAGGAAAGAAATTGTCACCTTTCATCGGCTAAATAAGGCCACTAACCTGAGAGTTTATTTGTTTTATTCTTGGCTTTGTTTAATTTCTTTTGTTTGGGCTGTGATGCTGGGGATCAAATCCAGGGCCTAGAATGCCATAGATTCCAGAACAACTGGCATTGGACATCTCTCTATGGTTGCTGCCCACACTAAATGTCATTAATTCTTATTGTTTCCATTTGTGGGCAGTGTGTCTTCTACCTTGAACTCCTATTTCCTCAGATGTTTGGGTCACCATGAAGTCTGTTCAGGCCTCTTTTCACACAGGCTGAAGAAAGAGCTGTTCCTTAGGTTTCAGCTCTGTTGTTGACTCAATATACAACTAATATGGTCAACAACAGACAACTGGTCCCCCTCCCATGAGTTGGCCAGGGTGGAGACGGCAACTCAACTTGAACAGCAATGGCCAAGCACTGAGATGAACAATAGGAAAATAATCTTAGAGCAGAAAGAGATCCCTTAAACACTGAGTGGCATAAAGGGAATGTAGATGTGAATTACTACGTTTTACACTCTAGACTCCGTGGTAGAAAAACCCAAGTCACACTAGAAAAATGTAATCCTAGCACTCCGTGGTGGAGTGCTGCACTCTATGGTGCAGGCCACCAAATGTCAACCCAATGTCAACCCCTAGTCTAAGGCAAGCCTTCACTACCAATTGCCTGAGGGTCTTCAGCAAGCCTCTTGGGTACTAACCACCTTTGACTCTGAACTGTTGTGAGAGACAAGGGAGGTAGCACAGTCAGAGTACTTGGAATGGCTCCTGTTGCAGAAGTGTATTTACTCTTCTAATTTTTTTGTCATTTGAAGACCATAATAAATTAGTATGTGTAAGAGATTTTTCCAACTGAACCAGGCACCCTGAATACGATGACAGGAGGCCTGGGCAGTCTATGGGGCCTCTGATAGTGGAACAGTACTTATCCCTAGTGTGTGAATGGACTTTGGGAGCCCACTCCCCATTGAGGGATACTCTCTCAGCCTAGATAGATGGAGGAGGGCCTAGGCCCTGCCTCAAATGATGTGACAGACTTTGATGATCTTCCATGGAAGGCCTCACCCTCCCTGAGGAGCAGAAGGGGAAGAGGGTTGGTGAGGGACATGGGAGGAGGGAAGGGAGAGGGAACTGGGATTGATATGTAAATTAAGATTGTTTCTAATTTAAATTTTCAAAAAAGAAAAAAGAAATCATTCCAAAATGTTTTTGTAATTTTTGTTTGGTATCACCCATTTTATTTATTTATGCTTATGCTTCTGTGTGTATGCATGTGTGTGCATCTGTGCACATGCACCACGAGGCCATGCTGTGGCAGGCATGTGGAGGTCACAAGACAACATTAGAGATTTTCCACCATGTGGGTGCCAGGGATGAAAATCAGGTTGTCAAACCTTGATGGTGGTCACCTCTACTTGTTTAGCCATCTTACCAGCCCTGACATCACACATTTGCCTGCTTGATAAATGTTTTCAACATTTATGGGCTAAATGCATTGATTGCATTTAATCTTCATGTCCATCAGCCACGTTCCATCAAGAGTATCCATGGGCCTTGTATTTTTTGGAGTTTCAAGGAATCGTGTAGATCAAGAGGGATTTTGTTTCAAGATGGAGCCTTCTTATTTCAAGATGAGAAAAAGATGCAGACAGATTGACTTGTCCAGGGTCATATCAAAGCAGCAATGGAGCTGGTTTTCACTTTAGAGCTCTTTGCTTGCTTCTTTTCCAGGTCCCAAACTGATTTTTTTAACCCCCCCCCCAAAAAAAGTTATTTATCAAGCTTTCAGGACTTGTCTTCAGTGAATGCCTACTCCCCATCTTCCAGGTGAGCTCCTGGGTGACATGGCTGATCCTCACAGCAGGCTCCATGGAGGAAAAGCGAGAAGTCTTTTCATATTTGGTGCATGTGGCCAAATGCTGCTGGAACATGGGTAACTACAACGCTGTCATGGAGTTCCTGGCTGGCCTCAGGTAAGGAAGTATGGAAATCTGGACATGTTTCTCTTTTGAGTTAGATATCTCTGAGTTGATTCCCTGGGCAGCCAGCCACATTTACTAAGGTATGCAATTGGTGGTGTTCATGAAGGGGAAATGCACTGCTTTCTTCCAACCCCACAGCCCTAGACCCTCAAAGGAGGAGGAGAAGAGAGAAGAGGGAGGGTAGGGAGAGGGCAGGAAAGGGGAGGGGGTCAACAGGGAAGGGGAGGGAACTGGTGTTGAAGGAGCTAAAAGTCCTACTTGGCTGGTTGTAATCATCTCTACCCTCACAGACATAGGTATGGATGATGCTAGAGATCCTTGCCAGTGACTCCTTGTCTGCTCACCTGCTTGCTTTGTCGGGGTCTCTCCCCACATGATTACCTAATGGATCAGCTTTCTCGTCACCGTGTCAAATGCCTGAGAGAGCAACTTAAAGGAGCAAATGTCTATTTTTGGCTCATGGTTTCAAGGCTTTCCACACATGGTTGCCTGGGTAGAGCATGATGATGTTGGGAGCATGTAGTGGAGGGCTTCTTTCCCTCACTGTGGAAATGAGAGAGAAGCAAGGAAGGTTCAAGGTCAAGGTATCCTCCCCAAGGACCTGCCCCCAATGACCTTCTTCTAGCTAGACCACTTCCTCCTAAAATTTCTAAAACCCTCTAAAATAGTACCCCCATCAGGACACAGGAATCTCCCCAAAGGTTTAAGCATTAGTCTGTGAGGAATATTTCATACTTAAAATAGTATCTGTCAAAGTGTGGTGATTACTCAATCCTCAGGCTTTAGGTCTAGTTCTGGGGTCCTCTCTCATAGGTTTTAGGGTCACCTCATCTGACAGGCAGGCTTTTCAAGATAGCTCAAGCCAAGCTCCTTCCACATTATCTACTCTGGACTCAAGAAAGACATCCCCACTGACTTGCCATTTTGCAAAGGCAGAGAATGTCTACAGAGCCATCTCTCCCTTGGCCATTGGGCAACTTTAGCCAGTTGCCCATGTTTAGGCAAGAGTTGTACAGTAGGCCCTCTGATAAACAAACTGCCCCAGAAGAAATGTCCAACGAGTCAACTTGACATTTCCTCCCCTGAGGTAAGTTTGTACTTTTCACATACACCCTCCCACAATACTCTGCATGGGAATATTTCCAAGTGTCTGCTTACATCTAGCTTTTCTGTGTGTGTGGACTGAAGGAAGACAAGAAACCAGTGAGGGCAGTCTAGACACTCCCTCATGATGACATGACATCTCTCTTTAGACTGCCAGCTGTGGTGTTACCTGTTGATCTCAGCAGCAGTTTCAAAGTGGGAAAAAATCCATTTGATACGTTGTTATGCAAATCCTACTTCAAGACAAGGTCCCCAGATGGGGTGGAGCTAAGGTCAAACTTTATTCTGTAAAAAGCTGTTCCTCACAAGAGTCCCCACTAGCAGGCTTCTTTTATGCCATCAAGGGACTCAAAGATCAGGAAGGACATCTAGGACACACTTTCTGTGGGCAAAGCCTCAGAAATATTCACACAAACCATGTGCTCTGGTTTTCTTTCTGTTTCTGTAATAGCAAAAGCAGCTCAGAGGAAGAAAGGGGTTATTTGAATTACCCTTCCTGGTCTAAGTCCATCATGGAGGGAAATCAGGGCAGGAACTCAGAGGAGGAAAAGGGTTATTTGGATCACCCTCCCAGGTCATAAGTCCATCTTGGAAGGATATCAGAGCAGGAACTCCAACAAGAACTTGGAACAGAAACCTGGGAGGAATGCTCCTTGCTGACTTAATCCTGGTCTTATACTTAGCTTTTTTAAAGCAATATTTTTTATATTTTTTTAGAATTTCATACAATGAATTTTGAATATATCCATCTGTTCTCCCCAACTCCTCCAATAACCACCCTCCTCACTCTCCCATCCCCTCCCATTCTACTTAGACGACTTCTCCTTCTCCTCCTCCTTCTCCCTCCTCTTCCTCTTCCTCTTCCTCTTCCTCTTCCTCTTCCTCCTCCTCCTCCTCCTTTTTTGGTTTTCCCTATGCTAAGGGGAGTGGGCTCTGGCCTCGAATGTGCTCAGTCTTCCAGGCATCACATCACTAAAGAAAACTGGCTTCTCCTCCCACAGCTGCCATCAAATGCCATTGCCTCCTCAGCGAGTGGTGGGATTTTGTGTCTACTTTCCATTCTCTGTGCTGGGATTTTTATCTGGCTGGTTCTTGCATAACTCTTACACATGCTGTCACAATTGCTGTGAGTTCATAGGTGTAACATCTGTCCTGAGGATCCAGCAGACTGACCTTGGCTAACCAGAGCATGCTGATTGATTGGAGAGGAGGGATATTTCAAACCAAGAGTCATCACTATC